CACTGGCTTGGAGATTTATACCACAAGTAAAACCTAGCAATTTTGACTTTCTTATTACAGCTCCGCTTAGCGTACACTTCGTTATGATTCGGGAAGCAACTGGCTGTGAAGCCATCGTGCCAAGACGATCAATCGGATTGGTGTTCTGATTGGTCTGTGAGCGAGTACACAAACCAAATCCTCCTTCGGTGTTAACTGACGCATCATGACCCCTGCACTGTTTTGCGGTGTAAACCGGTGACAGAATGAATCCAACCTATATATTGCAACGTGACCCCGGGGTAGAAAACCGCTGCAGTTGTCTCCATTCCACTTGTTTCGGTCTTGTGAGACCGAGAGAAATTCATGTTATAGAACAGCGAGCCGTGAGTCGGTTGGTGCCGTGGTACCGAAATTTGGATGGGATATACGAATCTCTCGCACGGCACGACAGTCACATACAGAGTGCTGACAACCATAGGCAGAGCTGTGCTCCGTTACGTGGACTAATCGAAGCGCATAATTGAAATCCGTTATTGTTGTACTACGCATATCAGCATTTGGACTGTAGGCGAAATGCCACAGTTGCAAATACCAAAACGTCTCGTCTCGGTCCGGACGTCGTCCTTACCATCGAGAAAACTACGTCCGTTGTACACAACGTCAGAGGGTTAGGCTTCACGTAGTGAAACAATTGCGAGGATTAATGAGCCTCGGGAACGAACGTTAAGTGGAAATGTATGGTTGGTAGTGTGAGTGGTGACATCTAGTTTTGAGATGAGAACTTAAATACTAACTTCTTTCAACACTGGTTTTTATTTCAAAGGCTGAATTCTAAAATGCTCCGCAACCGCAAGTCGATTGAAATTTCGTTCAGCTGTTTCTGAAGTGTTAGATTCCATAACGCTTGCTGCATTCCATTTGATTTTCGTAAAACGGTTCCGAAAATGCTGAGTTGTTTGATCTTTACTCAAAATTATGAGTTGTACCTTACAGCAGTTGTAGATTCTCGCACGAGTGCGTGTTCGGGTCGGTATAAACAGGTAAAAAGAGGGGAACGAAGAACCGGAAAATGTGCTCAGAACGACATACTATGCGTAAAGTCCACTTGAGTTTATATATTTATTGAGTTTATGACGGCTGGTTCCTAGAAGGGGATAAGGTGGATTCATAGATTATCCAGTCAACGACAACAGAATTAGGGACAATGGGCACCCCTGTAGCACTCCAGATCCTAACTCCAAATTCCCATGACTCCTCACCGTAGATGCGGATTGGGCTACTAGTGTTGAATTGATAGGATGTCTTGAGGTTTACAAGTTCAACGGAGACCAATGGCCAGAACTCTACTGCGATCGAGTAAACCGAAAGAGGGTCGCCGTGTTGCGCAGGTTGCCTGCTGTCTCCATTTTTGTCACCGCTTTATTCCAGTAGTTGCGCTTACCGTCTGAGATCAGGATAGGCGGAGAATTGAACTAGGCGGGCCTCCCTGGTCGCATTTGCTAACTGAATGGTTTGGTCAGATATCCAGTACTTCAGACAACTTGACTAAATGTCTAGTTTGTGTAGAGCAGTTTGTCGTACCGACGACTTCAGCCTGGCACGCGGAGTTTCAACCAAACTCACTGTGCTTCCTTGCGTACTAAGGAGATCGTTCGACAATTGTGTAACCATCACGCCCATCAGTTCTCGGCATTATTCGCAAGTCTCCGGTGGAAGCACAATAGGATTTTTGAAAGGACTGTCCTCTTGTGAGTTCTTAGATGTTTTCTGACTTTAGCGCGAACTAGTACGTGATCGGATCAACCTTTGTTCTCGTATTCAGCCCCGTGATAGGATCAACAATCTTCAACCGAAGAAACCCGTCAGGAACAGAAGAGAAAGTAATCTAGCTAGTGTGCTGTTCCACCGCCATTGGAGTACCAATTCGAAAAATGCTTTTTCCAGCATTGGTAAAAGACAGTCTATTATAATTGAAGAAGTTGAATAATGCATCATCGTTCTTGCAGCACTGATTAGGGCCAAACCTCTCAACGATGTGCTTTGCAACTCTTCTTTTGGGCCAACTAGAGCGTTGCGGTGCCGTGCTATGACAGGTGCATCCCGCCTTTTGGGTACCTCGTGGACAAACGAATGAAGGCTACAATAGAACTCATCCTTATCTTTTTTGTTAGAGGGGGGGGGTCGGAGCGTAGACAGCGATTACTTTGAGGTTTACTAAATGACTCCTGATTCGTGCTTCTGCAATCCTAGAGAATACCAGTTTCCAGGGCAATAAGACATTATTAGCCCAATGACTTTAAGCTAGGGACACTCCACATTGACCGGAATTTGCCGCTGTGATTCAGCCAGTATTGAATGTAAGTACCACGGATCTTGGTAGTTTTGAAGCCGGGTCCCACTCATCCGACTTCTTAAAGACACGAAATATCCATCTAATAGTCTTGTTGGTCACGTATTGTTATTGCCTGTCTCCCGGCATCTAAGTGTGTTATTACGTTTCAAAAATATCTACACGGAAAACTTACAAAACACCGAGGTTAAGGAAAAAATCCGAGTACATTTCTATACCATTCAAAGGGGATACATCAGTCTAGATCATACAAAGAAGATTATCCGACGCAATCGACAAGACTTCCTATGCATCTAAGCTTTGTGTGTTCACGTCCAAGCCAATAGTGTTTGTGACTGAAGGACAAACTCTGCGGTCTCAATCTGTGTACACTCATTTCGTTGTTCCTGTGGAACAACGTACATAGGCCGCACGATCAGGCGATTGTCCGAACCGATTCGTGAACACCATGCGGCTGAGCACCGGAACGATTAATTCACTCACCACAAGCAAATCACACCGTGAACGTGTGCGAGGCCTTCCGACCCCGGTACAAAGTTCGTGGGCGATTATCGAGGCAGGTTCGCTGTCGGATGTTGGCTACGGCAGAAGCGGTGGGCATTCGTCTGCACAACCCCCCTCTGTGTGCCCAAAAACCATTTGTGCAAGCGCTAAAGCTTCCCTGGCCCACCTCCCATACAAACCGCACCGTGAGCAATCTCGATGATCGGATGAGCGGGCAAACAAACATGTGTGATCGTGGTGAACCCGATTTCCGGTCTCACGATGAAATCGTTTCTAGTAATCTGTTTTTCTTTTATTTTCCCATGACAGTTTTATTCCCCACTAGTGATATATATTGAGATGTTTTGGCATGAATACGAATCTCCGAAAACGAGCTTGTTCGCCACTCTCTGCTATTTTGTTTGAAATGTGCTCATAGGGAAGCTTGTTATCTTACAATAAACGTAGAGGTGAAAATACGGGATAAGTGTAGCTTGCGTTTAGGCGTTATTGAGTAGAAACACCGATGTCACTAGCTGCAACACAACCATTTCACACAGTGTCTCGAAAGATATGTCTCGGTAATCACCAATTTCTTGGACAGGAAAGTTAGCATGACCTATGCGATTGAGCCTCCGGTTGAAGGTGTTCCTTCCATCCCACTGCGACAGGTTTTAGGTTGACCAACCCTGATATTTGTCTATCTATTACACAGCTCGAAGAACACCGCATGCCGTGACAACCCATTTAGTAATATGCGTAAACACATCCTAATACACGTAATGTATGGAGGTCGACCACTCGCTTCAAGGAGTGACTATGATCGCCTGAAACTCTGCGCCTAACCTAAACCTTGCTAGTTCGGATGGCCCACCAGATTTATGCAATGCGGTGCAGATATAGCTGTGTTTGAACACAAATAATGTTTCGCTTTTGTCAGCCTAAATGGATGTCAGACGCTTAAGTGAACAACATACTTCTTAGTGGCCCACACTGACAACGGTGTTCTCCATTACGCAAGACATCCCGGTTGGTGTTCTGGGTTTGTCTCACTGGTTCGTTAATTGTTGAATCACTCGATGAACATCAAGATGTCAGTGGACCTTAGCTCAATTACGAAATCTTTTGCAGGTAAATTTGTCCGGAAATCATTTTCTGATGTCTGAGCATCATTTTAAGCTGTTTTGTTGATCTCATCGGCGCTGACAAGCCCCCGAGCGATGTATAGATGACCACAATAAAGCACTAATTTTTCTATCTCCCGTTAAAGCACGGAGGGACGTTTGTGAGACATGCCTCGGTCACACTCGCCCCAATTCCCATGACATAAATTGGGGGTTTATCGACAAACTGAGGGGGAATCTGGTCAACCCTTATGCGTACGTCGAACTATAGCANNNAGCATGATCGATTGAAGTCCCGGTGCCACCACTTGAAGTGTAGCTTACGCATTCTATTGCAGCATCAAGCTACGGAGGTAAGAATGGCTCAAGGGTTGATTGCGCATGGTTCACTGGTATCAACGAATAATTGCCCTATATGCCTTTCCAGGGGGAAGCGGACAAACAGGTACAAACAGAGAGAGGTGCGTACGCGTACTATCTACCAACCAATATTGATGTCATGCTAATTGGGGTGCATCTCACAATCGCCCCCCCCCCTCCTACCCGCGCTTTAACGGGAGATTGAGAAATCTGTGCTTCATGGTGTTCATCCATACATCGCTGGAAGGCTTGACAGTACCGATAAGATCAACGACACAGCTTGAAATGATTTCTGGACATCTGGAATTGATTTTCGGACAGTCTGGTTTACAAAAAGTATAGAGCTCGGAAACTAGTAAACAATAGAAAGGATAAACGTGGAGAGGTGAATCGGGTTACTAAATTATTGGAGGGTAACAAATATCCGAAGTATTTCATCGAAAATGGCCATGGTAATATCAGTGCCTGAAACAAGATTACGTTGCTTACACAACTTCGACATCATAATCTTAATTGCTATGGCTTCTGCAGTTGTCGGGATCTTCCTACGTAATCCTTTGGCGTGGATCTTAGATGCAGTGAAGAAACTTGTATAAGATGTTTCTGGGTCAATCCTGTGTTCACTGTCGATTAAGTGTTGCGGGATTGAGCTATTCGAGCTTCTCATTGTTCCTTTTTGAAGAACGGCCGGAACACTTTCCGGCCATTAGAACAATTGGCCCATATCTGTGTGCGTGTCACCTTCTCTTCTCTCCCTTCCCCCTTTATTTACTGTCTTTTCGGTAAAACGTTCACACCTGTTTCATTCATTCTGGACTAACGCATTTCATATCTTCATCTCCAGTTCACACATTTTTCATTCCACTTTTCCCTATCCAATTATCGTGATCCCACCATAGCCTGTTGTCAAGCGAACATTTTGCGCACAGACTTTCACTCAAATTCAGCCTAGTCGTTGTATTAATCTACCGACTAATCGAAATATGCACGTTAATGCCTGAAGCAAGATATCCAAAAGAAATTTCTTCGCGTTTTGACTTTGATACAATTTTCAGTCCTCACTAATTTATCGTGCACAATAAAAGCAGGAAAATTTGTTGTTTCATCGAAGAGTGACATTTGTTCTAGTTGGATTTCTAACTGTACGACCCGTGATTAAGATAGAATAATTAATTAAGGTAAGCGCACTGTGCCAGAGTGTTATCCATTGCGCGAAAGCAATTTGGACCACTCAGTAGTGTTTTCGGGCAGTTCGAAACAGCAATATTCCCACACTTGCTATCAGCGTTCGTTCAGCCACACGCGGAGTTTACTGTGCAAGTATGGAATACATGGTTCAACCGCGAAAACAAGGCTCTAAAACGTCCGCAAAGGCTGGCCATAAAATTGATAGAAGGTCTGTTTAACAAGGCAATCTCCGAAAAACTGCAACTATAGGAACTCTACTCATCTCAATATCGCCGAATTAAAGGACCTAATATTTGCATATCACACACTGCATTAATCCAACTGTGCTGAATTTATCTCAAAATGATCACCTCAGGAGACATCCGCTGAAGGTAAAGAGTTTCAACAGCCACATTTACTGCCGGAATCGCTCGTTTACAGTCAGAGTATGTGGAATGGAATTATCTAGCATCCGATGCAATGTGTGCTCCTACATTTGAATTATTTAAGTTGCAACTCGATAAACCATTGGAACATAAAATGTTGACATTCGTGAGTGATTATGCATATAATTATTATTATTTTCTCTTTATGAAGTTGTTTAAAAGATTCTGTAAACATGAGGCATGATAACCTTTAGCTTTGTTAAATCGCTACATAATAAAACTCTGACTTTATATGAGTAGTGTTAGGCAGATCTTAGTTCTAATCTGACAGCGGTCCGTATGCTTTTCGCGGCTGGGAAGCATATCCGTATTCGGAGATTGGAACAGACAAAACAATGTGGATGCATACGGATCACGGCAACGTACTTCTTCCAAATCATGCGCAAATGATTCATCTCCATCGGATCCGTACTCACATCACATCGTAACCATACCGAGGTGTTTTCAATCACCTGTTCGATGCGATTCTCACTACCGCTAGTCGCGTCGGACGAACGATGCCCACTCGCCGGTCCGCGATCATCCTTGGCACGATTGGTGGAACTGCCATAGCCCAGTACTCGATCACCTTGACCGAGCACCATTCGGGGACCGGAAACAATTCGAGTACGCCCGCGCACTGTTAATCGCCCGGTTGTTTGAGAATCTCCGTACTGGTTTGAGGCAATGCACGTGTATTTTCCGCTGTCCGCCAAGGTGACACGCTGATTGCGCCAGCAGGGAGGTGCAAAGTGGATTGCGTTCAAATTACATTGAGTCATACGGATTCATGGTAGCATGCAAGATTACAGTACAACCAAAGTCTGAACTCGACCCATCACGCGCAGTATAACACTGTTAGAACAATGACTGTAATACCAAAATTATCACGATACAGACATGTTTAATACATTTGAACAAGCAACCAAATTCTGGAGTTAGCGTACACTGGAACTATGCGAACGATTAACAGGTATGATTTCTACATAAGTTGAATGTGCTTAACAATGAAAACTCAAACATCACGCATCATTTCAAATGCGATTAGAATAAGTTATCTTTCAAAGAATCAGTTTTAACTCCGGTGGGCGGGTCGGAATGTACGTACTCAATGCAACGTTTGCGTTGAGAACAGGTTCATCAGCATGCGAATGCAGCTGCGGCTTGGTTATGTGCGATACGTTCCATGTAATGCATGTTTTCTTGCCTACAAATCTTCTTAACTTCTAGCATGATGAAGGGTTAGTGACTAACTGATATTCTAACAAACTAACAAAGAAAAATTCGAAACGCCACATTATTGTTGAAATCGAGGTCATTGACTATTCCAGACTTGTCAGCTAACATATATGAGACAGATGAGGGATGAAGGGATACTGCAGGAGGGAGGAGGTGAGTTTTGCCGGGATTTGGGAACACAATAATTGTGCTATGGAATAAGCAAAATTTGCGAAATCCCGGATAGTGGAATCTAAATAGGAATTTGGGTTTTAATTATCCAGGTTCAGGATTAAAACGTAAATCAACAAAAACGATACCCGACTGATGATTTACAAGCTTCAGTCCAAAAACTGGACACCATACTTCTGGTGAAACCGGAGAATAAAACAAGGGTGTGAAGCCCTTAAATGGGAAGCGTTCAAAGATAGACAAAGTTGATTTATTCGTGGAGTACATAAATGGCAAATACGATGCCAGCGGAACGTGAGGATTGATCACCGCAATTTATAACCGGTTTTATACTTATACTCATTTGTGCTTAATGTTGTGGAATAATTAATTCACTTTAAATGAAGTTAAAGTGTCTATTTATCCTAGACTGTTTTTGGAAGTTCAAAGCAACAGAGACATCTGAAATGCTTATTACTCGGTTTACGTAATTCATTGACTTATTTTCCGAGCTCGCATTGATCGCTGCGCACTCTGTTCATGCTATCACGGTGAAGACTGAATACATCAAGCATTACTCACTAGTTGTGACAGAAGGAAATCGCGAAATTGACACAGTAAAATTTCAAACTGGCTATCGGTATTCCGGTCTGCGAATCAGTGTGTTGTACAATGGGATACAGATATTTCATCGGAAAACTGTATTCAATTATTGAGGAAGCAGGTGGACCATCTTACCTCGATCGTTAAACCACCGTCCGCGCTTAATCGATATTTCGACAATGAATCAGTTGACCACTGTCCTACTGTGCGTAGATTGGCACCATTTCGAAACCACTGGATGCTGGCCTTGGGTGCTCCCATTGTACGACAGGGCAAAGTGATTGGATTGTCCTCAGCCACGAACTGCTCCTCGGACATAGCATGCAGAATGGCTGGTGGTTGTTGCCATACGTGTAAGTACGCGTTGGAAATACGGCGGCCGTGAACATTACTGATTTGGCATTGAAACACTGCAATGTCGTCCGTTGTGGCATTGTGAATATGGAGATCCTATCGCGGCGGAAAAAGTAAAAGGACGATGGAACGGAATGGATCGCAGTGTACACTTGATCCACATTGAATACAACAATCACCTTAATCTTCAAAAAGGATTCGAACTTGTTTTTATCTCCTTTAGGAAAAGCTCACACCTTGAAATTCTATAAATTGCAAAAGCTATAATCCTGTTCAATAGGTTTGAGAAGATTGTGGTTACCTGGCCTTCGCCGTTCCCATCTAAGCGAACGTGATGTCGGTGGTTCTTGGTCAAGTCAAGTTATTAGTAGCTTTATGCACCCGGACGGGTAAATTTTCAGCATTTTTGGATTGGATTTTACAAAATCATACATAATGAAATTGACATTACTAGATTGTGTTTGTCAACAAAGCAAGAAATGGCACAATTCTGTGGAACTGTTCTCCTTCACAATAAGTAGACGTGCTATGGCAAAACAGAAGTACGATAAGAAAAGCTATGTGCAAATAAAAGGTCAAATCTTGAGCGTGTGGATGAAGTAGATACAGCTTTCGAAAATTTGTTGTGTAACGAATGGGTGGTGAGTGTTTGACAGTATTTTGACAGTAGACTTTTGACATGTTTGTAAGTGTCTGTCAATGATAAAATCCATGAGTTAATTTCTGACGATGCCACTACCTTTACAGACGTGTTTCAGAGATCTCTTGCCAGTAAATAAAAGTCTCTCTCTGCAACGTACCGGGAAAGATCATTGGGGAGGAATACAACCCGTGGAGGCGGATGTATGCATTCAAAAACGTAACAATCAGCTGGTGGGGAACAGAAAGTATTCTCAATCGGAATGATAAATATAAAAGCGTTTTAACTTTGCAGAATGTGTTTTGAACATGCGGTGACCATGATGAATTGTGTGACAGGGTGACTCCAAGGTATTTTACCGCTGTTAATTTTGTTACGGGTTCATGATTGGCAGAGAATGGGGAAACTTCCTGTGAGGGCTGAATATAGTACATCAGTCAAAAGGGAAAACACATCATCCTGACACTTGGAGGCATTCGATGAGAGGAAAGCGGACACGGACCAATTAACAACGTGGTGCTTCTCTGTGTGGATAAAATGGGCTTGGATTCAAATCCAGTTGAGTTACGTCAACTGAAGATAATGTTTATGTCCCCAAGGTTAGCAGTTCAACGATGTACGGGACATAACTTCTAGAGCAATCGCGATAAAAATAGTATCTTCAAGAAAGAGCAGATAAAAAAGAAAAATATGCTTCATCTGATATTCGTGTTCGGAGATAAGCTTTGAACGGTTAAGGAAAAACCCCGCAGGTTGCGGAATTCCACTCGTCCTGAAATTGACGGGCATTTCAGTGTTTTAGAGGCATAGACCGTATCGT